AACTATCACTAATGAAGTAATTAAAATTACCCTAATACTATAAACATATCTAATATCCAGATCTTGCTTTCTAAATACTGTTCTTCACAAAAAAGAACCAGAGTCCCACATGAAAAATGTTTATTCTAGAGCTAGGACAGGAAAATGTAAGATAAATCTGGAATGTCTTATGGTACTTGAAAGTTGTTTTTGTTTTTAATAAAACGGAAAGAGTTCAAAGAATGACCAAGACATTTCAAAAGAATACACACCCAAATTAAAAGGGCTAAATGTGGGGTAATTCAAGTACCAAGAGAAATGAAGATAACCCGCTGGGCAGTGGTGGTGAATGCCTTTAATCCCAGCATTTGGGAGGCAGAGCCAGAGTTCAAGGCCAGCCTGGTCTACAGAGGGAGTCCAGCACAGGTACCAAGACTACACGAAGAAATCCTGTCGGGGGGGGGGGGGGGGGGGGGGGGGGGGAAAGAAAGGAAGATAACCCACTGAAATTCTCTCTCTCTCTCTCTCTCTCTCTCTCTGATAAGTGAGACTACCTGACATATAGTCAGACAGCTGAAGTAGGATGTATATATTTGAATAAGACATCCATTCAGTCTCTAACTTTCAACAAAATGCCTATTAATTAGCAGGAGGAAAGAATACAGTAGAGATATCTGACATCCATCATCTTAATTAAATGATGCTATCACCAGTAAGGGACTAAATCAAACTTGTGTGCCACCTGTTAAGACACTTGAGAAGAACAAATTATAACTTTGGAGGTTTTCTGAGAAACATCACTTTAAAAAAAAAATGTGAAGGTCACAAAAGCCAAACAAATACTGAATAACTTCCAGATAGATTAAATAACCAGAAAATCAAAATGTATAATGTAATTCTATCACAAAATCATTCTATATAATAAATATCAGGCAACTAGCAAATTCAAAACAAAGTGTAATGGCTGAATGGGGCTAACATCAGTGTTAACATCCTGATCTCTGAGGATTGTGCTGGGGTTTATAGGAGAATGCACTTGATTATAGGCAAAAATAATAAAATATGCACGAGTATTCAGAGGATGCAAGGAGAATGAGTTAAGTAACTTAAGTTCACCTAGTTCTGGTGTCAAAAGCCGCCACCACCACCACCACCACCCCCCCGCCACCCCAATCCATGAAGAAAAAGAACATGGAGGCCACAATTCTCCATTCAGACATCCTAATCCACTCTTAGGATTTTGTTATGGCTTACTCTTCCAATGTATTTCAAAAGCCATGTGTTAAAGGCTTGGTCACCAGCCCACAGTGCCACTGGGAAAAAGAAGAACCTTTACAAGGAAGTTAGGTTACTGTAGGGCATGTCTTTGAACTGGCCACTTTCTAAACCCAACACCATAAATTAAAATAAACCTTTTCTTCCTTTAATTTATCTCAAGTAATTTTGTTGCAGCAACAGAAATCTGACTAATATAGACAGATTCTTTGAATGTATTTCTATCAGTGATTTTAGACAAACTGTTATGGTCCATACCACAAAACTTCAGAGACATCTGACACATGCAATGCTAATGAAAGGCACAAGCTACTTACCAAGTTTAAGGATGAGCAAAAGTGACAGTGAGAGTGAGAATGAGATTGACAGTGAAACCACACCAGCATGAGCACAAAACTGTGAGCTTGCACACACAGTGAAACAAAAGTTGTCACCATCTCTAATATGCCTTCTTTTTTTTTTCCAGAGCTGAGGACCGAACCCAGGGCCTTGCACTTGCTAGGCAAGCGCTCTACCACTGAGCTAAATCCCCAACCCCTAATATGCCTTCTTGAGACTGACTTTAATACTCCTAGAAAGTTTAGAGTTCCATAACTTCTACCTATAATCAGTTCTAAATGATCCTTCATTCTTAGTCCTCTATTTGGGAATGGAATGTCCCCTGAGCTAGCTCACTGAGGTCTGAAGAAATATTAGCTTCACCTCCTGACCTACACAGTGAACAACACACAGTGTTCATGCCAGCATGGAAGAACTTGTTTACTGAAGAGAACAGTTCCTAAATAATGATTTCTACTAGTCAACATCAAAATCAGTAGTCCATAGCTCACCACAACGGCATTTCCCAAACCAAGAAATGCAGACGCACAGGGAGAATGATGAATTCCTTCTTCTGTCTTTCCAAACTGCATCTCTTTTATTAGACAGCATAGACTACTGATGTCGTAACTGTGACAGATGCTGGAGAAGAGCCACTATCTTTTCTAATGAAAATAGTGATCCTAGGTGCTGGAGAGCCAGCTTACCAGATAAGAGCACTGGCTGCTCTTCCAGGAGACCTGGGGTCAATTCCCTGCACCAGATGGTGGCTCACAACCACTTATAAAACTCCAGTTCCAGGGGATCTGATGCCCTCTTATGACCTCTGTGGGCACTAGGTATGCATGTAGTACTCCTGCATAGATACAGGCAAAACATGCTTACACACAAAAATTTTAAAATCTTTTTAAAAAACAAAGAAAAGGAAACATTAATTCTATGGGTAAACACCTGTCTCTATCAGAGAATTAGATTACAGGAACTTAAGTTCTTATACTTTCATACCAGAATAACTCAGTCTTGTTCTGAGCAGACAATATTCCTTAACCAACAGCACAATCGATTGCATTCATTAGATAAGGATAAACTGCTAAGACACTACAGGCCTAGAAATTCACTCAGGGTTTATAGTTTGTTCACATATGCATCTTCTGTCATTTTACCCTTATGTTACACGGAATCTGAATTCCATACTTCAATCTGAAGCAGGTAAACTATCTTACCAACAATGCAGACTCTCAGAATTGCAAGAAATGAAAATCCAAGTGAGCAGGATAGCTAAAGAGAGACTGTAACTTCCTTTTCTTCAAGACCTTCAGATTCCAAACTATACAAAGTACAGCCAGCTTTCTAGCCTCTGGTGTTGTCAATATTCATCACACAACATGCTTGCTGCTTAGGAGTTTTAACTGCACATTTTTGGTCTTAAGAATCAATACAAGAACATTCTACAGCTGAGTGGTGGTGGTGGTGGCGGCGGCGGCGGCGGCCCACGCCTTTAATCCCAGCAATTGGGAGGCAGAACCAAGTGGATCTCTGTGAGTTCAAGGCTAGCCTGGTCTACAGAGCGAGATTCAGGACAGGCACCAAAACTACACAGAGAAACCCTGTATGGGGGGGGGGGGGGGGGGGGGGGGAGAACATTTTACTTCAATAGTTTCTGTGGAATCATAGATGAAAGCAAAACCTACTATGCCACATAACAGCAGAACCAACCCACAGAATGTCTTTTTTTTTTTTTTTTAAGTACAATGCCAGAAAGTCTGTCTCTGTAAACAACATGCACACTTTCTTTCCACAAACAATGAGCAATGCAATGCTACAAAGGGAAGGGAATGTTTCCCTTTTAGCCTAACAGGCAGAAAGCTAAAAGCCAAATACAAAAGTTACAATTAGCTTCTGTCAGGAGCCTGGTACTTCTGCTCCAATGCTCTTCTTAAATGGTTTCTTGTGCTCTTTATATTTAATTGTATCAAATGTGTTTAAGGTGCCTAGAGTATATATGAACATACATATTTTTCTTTCTCTTACAATTTCTATGACATACAATTTCTGGCATCATTCTAATAGTAAATTTAGGAGGCTAATTTAATAAATATCAAGTAGTTACTGCACTAACTCCCCTGGCCCACTCCCCAAGTTACTTGGTAGCCCTACAAGGAAAGCAAGCCCACCCTGCCATTCCACCACATCACCTTTGCAGTAATCTGCGGGGTCCTCCTGCTCCTCATCATCTGATCCCAGAATCTCCTCCTCTGGCTCTGGGGGCACTGGGTCTGGCAGCGGTGGTGGCAGCGGTGGTGGTGGTGGTGGTGGTGGAGGAGGAGGAGGAACTAAAGGAGCTTTCTGCTGAGGCTCTGGCCTGAAACAGCAGGGAAAAAAATTCTATTTACGAAAAGCAAACCATGCATGATAGGCAAATTTGAGTTTCTTAGTATGAGGAAACTAGAACTTGTCACACATTAAGAAGAAATTCCACTCATTAAAGTTAAAGTCATTCCATTCATTTTAATTGAATTCAAACAGTACTTCATCACATTGGCTGACAGGGGGTGGTGACCTTCTCCTTTATTAATGGAGTATTTTTCATAAGCATCTTTTCATTCAGAGATTCAGTATTTTTTCAGACAATGCTATTAAAATTTTATTGTAATGAATAAGCACCTTATCCTATGATGTACAACTTTATAAGAAAGAAAACATCCCGTGGAGATTATTAAAAGGTAAGTATACTCAGCTATCAGCTTATAAAGAAGTTAGTTTTTCTTACTTGAAAAAAATCAGAATTAGCCAGGTGGTGGTGGCACATGCCAGTAGAAGGCAGAAGCAGGTGGATCTCTGAGTTTGAAGACAGCCTAGTCTACAGAGTGAATTCCAGGATAGTCAGAGCTACACAGATAAACCGTGTCTTGAAAAACAAAACAAAACAAAATGAAGGATGAACTTACATAAAAGTTAATTATTACTTCTAATCATGTCCCAATAGAAAACACACAGTATCTCAGTTTGGATGCCAAAGCCTGCCTGGCTGTTAAGCTGTCTTCCTAATGGGACTATGACTGTTTTCCCTGAACTGGCCTCTGCAAGGGGGGTGAAAAGCAACTTTTATGTATCACATTTTAAGATGTTTTATATACAAGTTAAATATATTATTAACATTAATGTCACTCAACTCTTTTTACTTTGTTTAATGTGGCCATCAGAATCTTAAATTACAAGGAAGGTCTACACTGTATTTCTACTGGATGACACTACCCCGTAGATCTCCCTGAAGCAGAGCAGTAGCTTAGCCTCACATTCACACTCCTGCTCACACCAGTGATGACAGTTTCTTCTGAAGCTTTTATTAATGACCTACCTCATGGTAACTGACACTACTTCTCAAATCAATTCACCACAGCAAGTGTAATGTTATGCTTTATGTAACATTATGCTCCAATTATACACCCATACCTGTTACTGCCGTCACACAGGAGAAGGCAGCTGAGTTTCTTCTAGGGAACACACACTGACACATGCCCTAGCACCTGAGGGAAAGCAGGTTTGCCCCTTTCCTTCCTTAGAAACAGGGTCTTATAGAAAAGGCTGGCCTCAAACTTACTATATAGCTGACACTGGCTTTCAACTACTAATCTTCCTGCCCTAGTCTCTCAAATTCTACAATTAGAGCATGCATCACAAACCCAGCTGAGATGGTCTTCTTTTAAAGAATTTCTAAGAGCACTGTAAAGTGTGCTAAAATATCAACTATCTAAAAGATCAAGAGGGACAAGTTATCTCACCAATTACAGGCTTGTGAAGTATATCAAAAGATCAAAAGACAACTTCCTTCTGCCCTAATGAACACAATCAAGAAGCTATTCCAGGGCCAGGCACGATGGCGCACACCTTTAAGCCCAGTGCTTGAGGCAGAGGCAGGTGAGTCTCTGTGAGTTTGAGGATAATCTAGTCTACAGAGCAAGTTCCAGGACAGCCAGGGGTATGTAAAGAGACCCTGTTGAGAGAGAGAGACAGAGACAGACAGAACGTATGAATCTATTTTACAGAAGAAATATTAGAAATACATTAAAAAAAAAAGAGTGGGGAGGAACTAGAAATATTTTCAAAGAGAGTACCAATACAAATGGTTTAAAAACAGAAATCTGCCGGGCGGTGGTGGCGCACGCCTTTAATACCAGCACTCGGGAGGCAGAGCCAGGCGGATCTCTGTGAGTTCGAGGCCAGCCTGGGCTACCAAGTGAGTCCCAGGAAAGGCGCAAAGCTACACAGAGAAACCCTGTCTCGAAAAACAAAAAAAAAAAAAAACCAGAAATCTTTGGAACAAATGATGCCGAGATGAACAAAAGGTGCACAGGGTGGGGGTGGAGCAGGAGAGATTGCTATGTGGTTACTGCTTGCTGCTCTTCCAGGACCAAAACTCAGTTCCTAGCACTCATACTGGGCTGCTCACAACTCTGTAACTCCAGCTCCAGGTGCTCTAACACCTCTTTCAACCTCTGCAAGCACCAAGGCAAGTGGCACATATTCACATAGATGTATAAATAAAAATTAAAATTTTTTTAAAAAGCAGAATGCCCCCCCACACTATTCTAACATGGATTAAAGAGTTAAATGAGTCGGGCGGTGGTGGTACACGCCTTTAATCCCAGCACTCGGGAGGCAGAGGCAGGCAGATCTTTGTGAGTTCAAGTCCAGCCTGGTCTACAGAGCGAGATCCAGGAAAGGCGCAAATCTACACAGAGAAACCCTGTCTTGGAAAAAAAAAAAAAAAAAGTTAAATGAAAGAGCCAGAACTATCAAACTCTCAGAAAAATCTTCATGATCTTGAGTTAAGCATTGCTTTTTACACACAATACCAAAACAAACAAATAAAAGAAAAAGATAAACCATACTTAATCACAATTAAAAATGTTTGAACAGGCAAAATGGCTCAACAAGTAAAAGTACATGCTGCCAAGCCTGGAGACTTCAGTTCAAATCCAAGGACCAATGTGATGGAAGGAGAGAATGGATACTCTGAAATTATCCTCTGACCTTCAAACATACACTGTGGCATGTCATCCTCCCACATTCAATAAATCAATGTAGTAACTTTTTTAAATTTAAGTGTGTGTGTGTGTGTGTGTGTGTGTGTGTGTGTGTGTGTGTGTGTGTGTGTGTGTGTAGAGGATTAGAGGTTAATCTTGAGTTATTCCTTAGAAGTTGTTCACCCTACTCTTTGAGACAGGATCTTTCACTGGGACTTGGGGCTAGCAGATTTAGGACTCCTGTCTTCTCAATACTGTTGGAATTTTAAGCAGTCACTGTCATGCCTGGCTTTCAAAGGAAAAGTTTGTATTTCTCAAAAAACACCATCAAGAAAATAAAGAATCTATTCAATAGGAGGAAATATTTCAAAACTGTATAACTGAAACAAGACATATCCTGAAATATATAAAGAACTCTTAGAACTAAACAAAAAATGACACACTAATATGAAAGTGGGTAAAGAAAGTAAGGATGTATTTCAATTGTAGAGCATTTGTTCATCATCAACAAGGTTCTAAGTTCAATCACAAACACCAAAACAGAGTAGCAGATTAAAATAGATATTTCCAAAATAATATATATATGTATGAATGATCAAAATACAAAAAGATCAATATCATTGTCATTTTGACAGTTTTAATTGTTAACTGTTGTAGAATATTATTTTAAGTTGTATTACTTTTGTTTATGTCACATTTGTTGAACTCTGTGAAGCTGTATTACCATGCCCGTGTAAAACACCTGATAGTCTAATAAAGAGCTGAACAGCCAATAACGAGGCAGGAGAAAGAACAGGTGGGGCTGGCAGGCAAAAAAATTAATAGAAGAAAAAATTGGGGAGGAGAGGAAGGAGGAGCCAGAGAAGGAGGACGACTTTAGAGGCCAGTTACCCAGCTACACAGCAAGCCACAGAGTAAAAAACAAGAAAGGTATACAGGAATTAGAAAAGGAAAATCCCAGAGGCAACAGATAGATGGGATAATTTAAGTTAAGAAAAGCTAGGGTAATTTAAGTTAACAAAAGCTGGCTAGAAATAAGCCAAGGTAAGGCCAGGCATTTATTAAACAAGAATAGGCCTGAGTGATTTATTTGGGAGCTGGGTGGTGGGCCCTCCAAAAGAGTAAAAAATAAACAACAACAGTTAACTTGACAGAATCTAAAATTATCTGGAAAGAGTTTCAACGAGGAACTGTCTATTTCAAACTGGTCTGTGGGTATGTCAGGAAAGGGAGTGTCTTGATCATGTTCATCACTAAAGAAAGACCAAGGCCACTATGGGTGGCACCACTCCCTAGGCAAGAGATCCTGAACTCTGAAGTGTAAAGAGCAAACTGAGCGCTAACAGGCATACTTCCTTTATCTCTCTCCCTGATCCTGTGGATGTGATATGATTAGCTGCTTCAAGTTTCTGCCTTCACTTCCAAGCAACAACGGATTGTAACTTGGAATTGAGAGCTAAAATAAATCCTTTCTCCCTAAGTTGCTTTATGTCAAGGAGTTTTATCATAGCAACAGAAATGAAATTAGAGCAGGAGTTCAGGAAAAGGAAATCAAAATTGCAATGAACTGCCTCCCACACCAAGACAGCTATAATTTTAAAAAATCCAACATTAACAAATGTTAGGGAAGATGAAGACATGGGGCCCACATATACTTCTGGTGAGAATATAACACAGCTATTTTGTACAACATTCTAGAAACTCCTATGAGATTAAAGAGGGGGGGAATAATTGGAGAGATGGATTAGCAGTTAAGAACCCTTGCTGGGCACAGGTGGCACACGCCTTTAATCCCAGCACTCGGAGGCAGAGCCAGGCGGATCTCTGTGAGTTCGAGGCCAGCCTGGGCTACCAAGTGAGTTCCAGAAAAGGCGCAAAGCTACACAGAGAAACCCTGTCTTGAAAAACCAAAAAAAAAAAAAAAAAAAAAAAAAAAAAAGAACCCTGGCTGTTCTTAACAGAGGAACCAGGTTCAGTTCTCAGCAACCACATAGCAGCTCATAACTTCAACTCCAGTCCCAGAGGATCTAATGCCCCCTATTGGCTTTTGTAGACACTGCACACTGGTGCGCAGACATGCATATAGACAAAACACCTATACCCATAAAAATAACAAAATGTTCAAAACTATTAAAAATTCATAAAAAGATTAAATAGGGCTGATGAAAAGGCTAAGTGGGTAAAGCACTCACCACCAATCTGATGGCCTGGGTTTGACCCCCGAGACCATATGATGGAAGGAGAGAATCAACTCTACAAGCTTTGCTCTTACCTACACACACACAACACACACCACACACACATACACACACACACACACACACACACACACACA